TTGGAGCTGCTGGCATTGGCTGCATTGGACATGGGCGAAACTTCTGGCAGCTTCTCTCACAGAAGCCACCCCTGTGTGTACCCCCCTGCCCTGCTACCAAAACCTTGCCATGCAAACCCAATACAGTCTGGTACAAAAATAGAGCTGTATGCTACCCTTTGCTATGTGTCATGGTCTCAAATGTCTTGAGGTAAGAAATTGTGCATTTGTCTTTTTCTTTGTGGCTTGCAATCTCTTCTATTCAGTCACAAATTGTCTCAGTAAAGACTGTCTGCAAAAACCTATATTTAAGGGATAAAGAAAATGGTATTAAAGGCCAGGACAGAAGCAGACAGAGTGTGTGTTCATGGGTACACATGCAGGGGGAAATATTAGATTACAAGGGAAGGAGTAATGTGATGAGCAGTTGCCCCAGACTATAAGTATGTCAAAGGAGAAGATGGGAATTCCTATGCTGTCATTATTTTTGTAAGCTTTTCAATAAACAAAAAATGTACAAAATTCACAGTATCATTGGACTTCTTAAATGCAAAAGTGGCTGGGTTCATTCCCATAATCAGCAGTCATAAAATAATATTTTCTCCCCGAACTTTGCTGGTAAAATTTATGTCCCCAGAGTGAGCTCAAGGAAGCAAACACAGTAATGGTAGTACCGTGTCTGTTTAGAAAGTCTGAACCAAAAAAGATGCATGTCTTGCAAAAAATGAACAAACAAACAATGAAACCCACAATGTTTCACATAAACAGCTCCCAGCACTGCAGAACAAACTCTTTTAGCAGAATGTTTAAGGCAAATTTGGGGATTTTGTAGCAGGCATTTCATTCCCTAGTTGTCTAGGATTTGCATGTAATGATAAAATCAGGAGGCAGAAATTTGAATGAATTAATGGATTTGACAAATGGCTGCAGTCTTGACTCCATTTGTGATTGATTATTCCTAAAGGGATAAGTACACTTGTCCCATCTGTTCCTGCCTCTCTCCTGAGAAGTGTTTAGGATATGTCTGAAAAGGAAAACCAAAAAGAAGTACCTCAGGCTGTCTGGCATTGTGTGAACCCTTGGAAATGAGAGGCTGCCTGTGCCATGGAATGTTAGATTTTGAGAGCAGTGAGCACTGAGTGACAGCCTGAATTTGTAGTTTCTTTGCTTTTGTAGGTTTAAGACAGACTCCAACCAGCCGTCTGTGTTAATGAAGCACCAAGTACATTACATAATTATAAGATTCTGAATATAATTGCTGTGTATGCTGCATAATTTAAGTTCCAACTGTACTTGCATCTCTCATTTACCAAGCCAGTGAAGGATATAATAATATTGAAAACAGTAACAGCTCAGAGCTTCTACACTGTAGTCATGGGGGGGCTGCACTTAATGAGTGTGTTTGTGATTCTTTTAAAGAGATCCTGGCTGATAAAATCACAGTGGCTAAAGGTGAGGGTTATCTGTGAGATGAGTCTTTTCCTTGCAAGTCTGGGTATAATGCCCTGAGTAAGGAAATATCTGATACTAAACATGTACTCTGGGACCAGAGACCTGCCAATTCTTACAGAGTGAGATCTTAGACATACAGTACATTGTGGCAGGGGAGAACGGGGCTGCTCTTGGGTATAAAAAAGAGCTCAGTATCTTGTTTTTTCTGTTTGTAAAGTGGTTGGACATCCAGCAGAAACTTGTGAATGTGAGGAGAGAAGGGCTTCTGTTAGAAAGTTCTTTTGGTGGTAGTATCTTGCGTACCTGTTGGGCTTTACATATGCCAGGCAAGGGTAACTGTTTCACTGCACTGTTCTCAGAGGCTTCCCTGCCTTGTTTGTTGGTTAACTGTGGGCTTTCTGGCCATATAGCATCCTAGAACTTTAAAAGGTATTTCATGGTGGAAATGCAGTGAAATATTTTTGGTGGGTTTTTTTCTCCCCCCAAAAACCCCCCCCCCCGCCCCAAGTATGATTCTATCAAGTATTCATTGATAAAACCTGAGCTTTTTCTCACTAAGGAATACTTGGTAGGATATGGGGAATGCATATGGTAGACTTAGTTTCTGTGTTTTTCATTCCAATTATTATGAAAAGGGTGAAGTACAGATTCAAGCAGGGACTCCTTGCCTCCAAATCACTGAGATTCTGTAGATACTGCTTACCTCCCCCCCATTTTGATATCAAGTTGCCAAACCAAAATGCAACTTTCATGAAGTAATAGTTTTAGCCAAACTTTGTTTAACTAAAGTCCTGTCCTGCCCTTACAGCTTGCTAGTTTTTAATCTCGCTGTTATGACAAGATGCATTGTGCACTTAAACAAAGCAGACTGAAGTGCATGACCTTATCCATCGGCTCAGTTCTGCAGCTGTCTGGTGTTGGAATATCTTCCTTTAGGAACCAAAGTGAGGAAAATTTTATTGGCAAATGGCAGCTACGCACATCTTAAACTTTAATGCAACCACTTTACTATATGGTACAGTGGGAAATTCTTTGTCCTTGAAGTGCGGTGAGAAAGCTGCACTTACTCTAGTTACGTTTACAGTTAAATTATCAAGCGAAGTGCAGAAATATGAATAAACAATTCTTATTTGAAAATTGTTTGTTGGAGGCCAGTACAAAGGTTTATCGATCCTTTGAGTTCTTTTCTGATAGGTTATTCTTAAGGAAAATACTTAAATGCATGTGTGTCCTTTCAGAACATCCAGTGGTGTGTTGCAGACTTTAATACCTTGAGCATTACCCAGTGAAGGAGTGATAATTTGAACCTTTTGAGGCAGATCCTATTCATTAAAACATGAACAGTTTTTTAGAGATTGTAACATTTGTCCTCCCTTCTTGTCAGACACTGTGGGGTTTTGCTAAATTTCAGACACAGCAGGAGGCTTCCTTGTTATGCTCTAGTGACTTTAACTGCAGAATTCTGACAGTCCTCACTGTTGTACCAAGAACAAGTTTGTATGGTTAGCAGTGTTGCTCAGGGGTTGCAGGATCAAGCTTTGGATATGAATGGTTTATTTGGGAAGCTATGATTATATGAAAGCTTTAAGGGAAATTTTCTTGTCTTCTTGTCCTTGCAGTGGCCAGTTTGCTATCGTGAAAAAATGTCGAGAAAAAAGCACCGGTATGGAGTATGCTGCTAAGTTTATTAAAAAACGTCAGAGTCGGGCCAGCCGCCGCGGAGTGAGACGTGAGGAAATTGAACGGGAGGTTACTATTCTGCAGCAGATTCTGCATGCCAACATCATCAAGTTGCATGACATCTATGAGAACAAGACAGATGTAGTCCTCATCCTTGAGCTGTGAGTAAGGGGACTTCCTATCCTCTGAGGTAGGATGAGTTAAGTTAGGAACCAGAAAGGGCTGCAGAGGCTGTCAGAACCTAGAGGCACTGTTAAAATGGAGCTACTGTGTTCTCAGCCCTTATAGATGTTGGCAGGAGAACTGGATGAGTTTGCTGGAAAGGAAGTGAAAAAACCTAACAGATGTTTACTATGTAGGAAAAAGCCAGTTTATTAGAATATGAAGCAGTACCAAAATTTCCAGTCTCTACAATAGCTATTAAATTACCTGTGAGAATTTCGTTTGGCTGTTTGTTTCATCAGCCTAGAAATGCTACATCCCAAAGACATCAGCTGTTTCTTATACTCTGTCACCCTTCTTGTATGTTTGATGGAACTGAGGTGAAACATTTAAGACAGATGCAGGCCGCAGGCTAATAATGTAATCTCTTATCATACAGCTTGTTTTGAATGTGTTTTGCCTGTTTCTGCTGCGTGGTTTGAATCTTAAAGTCTGCCATTTGGACAGACATGCCTGACCATGTTTTGGAAAGCTGTATATCATCTTAACAGTATTTCAAAGTCATTATGTTTTGGGGATCGCATGCAGGGGTTGGTTATGTGATGTTAATCTGAAACGTGTATTGAGGGGAAAGTTTACACAGTCATTTCGGTGCTGACCCTAATGTATGTGTGATGGAATTTCTTCACTTTTGGAAAATGTAACATGATGTAGAAGGATCCTAACAAATAAAGGGGAATAAGAGGTTGTGGGTTTTTTTTAAAGAAATACCTCTTTCCAGCCTGGCCAGGAGAGCTTTGCTCTGTGTAAATAGCATTTTTGCCTCTCGGCCTTGCAACCCAGTATGAATCAAAATGACATTGGAAGAGTTATTCCTGTTTGTGTGACTTTGGCTTAAATTGGAGAGGCTAAAATAGAGGTTTTGTGAGAAGGGACTAGTGATATCTCAAAAGAATAGAGAGTTGCTTTGGCAGAGGTAAAGCAGGACGCATAGACCAGCTGCAGCACTTTTCTGTATTACTAGTGTGGAACAGCAAGGGAAGATAATTAGAGTAAATAACTGATCTAATATCAGATAGGCTGAGTATACTGAAGTGTTAAATGCTACAGGAAATTATCATCACTTTAGGTAGGTCAGTTAACTCATTTCAGCTTTTCCTGCTCCCCCCAGGGATGCAAATTCTTCACTGTGAAGAAGAGAGGGGAACTAAGTCACCTGCTGCTGTTTGGCTTTCTGTTCTTAGTGCTATTTGCCAACTGTTCTGATGCGTATTAGATTTGACCTGTAGTGGCTGAGAGGTCACAGGAAGATCACTGGCTCCTCTGCATTGCATCTGCTGCTGAATGCTGTAGAACATTTGAGTGTCCCCAAATTTAACTGTGTTACTGTTGATGTGTTAGTTTGTCATTTCAAGAAAACTTTGCAGTTGCCTAATGCCAATTATTGAGTAAAAAAATAATCTGCCATGATAAAATTGTTTCACTTTTTCAAGAAATGAAAAAAAGGAGACCCCAAGTGACTTGAGTGTCTTCATACCCAAATTTAGATAATGAATGTGGATGAAACTTGGCACTTGTTGCCATCCTTGGTGTTTCATGGCTGATGATCAAGGCTGTAATAGAAGTGTAGGAGTGACTCTGTATGGTTGTATAAACCCATGTCCAAAGCATCTCCTTCTATACAGTTCATAGTGTATGCTGTTGGTCTACCTTAAGGAGTTGAAAAGGAGGTAAACTGTCTTAGTGCATGTGCAAATTTATGTCTGTGTGCATTTGTGTGGCTCGGACTTCCTAATCTCCACTGAGAACCAGGGGAAACAGGAACACTGTCACAGAAAGCAGAGAGGAGAATTGTGAGCCGGTACTCTTCAGAGCCAGGAATGGAAGTAGGTCTTCTAATAAATGGGGCTTTGCTGGTCAGGATGTATGGCCTTGGCCTAAGGGGGTAAAATTTGTCATGTAGTGAAGGAAGACTCACATCAATTTAAGCTTTTTTGGGCTGTGTCCTGCTCTTTTGTGGAATCAATACCACCTAGTTTACAAAGCTCTGAATCTTAAGAGGAGCTGTGCAGAAGATGACGTATCCTTTGCTTGTCAGTTGATGGTACTAAAGTAAAGCTGTAAGCAAGGACACAGCTTGAGGTCTTCTACTTACTACAATTTTTAGGTAATTAGTAATGATGCAATTTTATGTATGTATGAAGCATGAAATACAGACAGCATGGCTGAAGTTATGTAGAACATATGCTCCCTAGAGCACCTGCCTTGACCTTGTGTATGAAATCCAGGCAATGAAGCTTTGATCCCTAAGTGAGATGGAATAACCACTAGCTTTCTGGGGGGGAGCCAGCATTTAGGCCAGGGAGCATTTCTGGAGATTAATGTGACTGCTGACAGGTGGCATATGAGTGATGATAAACATCTGTTAATTTTAAAGTATATGTCGATGGCCAAATGTTGGTCTCTGTAGCCGTGCATTGGAAGACAGGAAAGGAACTTGATTTTTCTGACTGGCAGCTACTTTGTGCTAAAACAACCTTCCATTTCCTTACTGTCTGCTTTTTCTTGTCCTCACATGGCCTGACACATTTTGTGTCCTATTGTCAGGCTGTAGCTTTTACTGCACTTTTAAAAGGCTGAATGCAACAACTGAGTTCTAACCTGATTATGGCCATTATATTCAGCTGCTGCATACAAATTGAGGATGATGATAATTGCTAATAAAGATAATTAAATTCTATCTGTAAACAGATGATCTCTCCTTCTGACACTCTGATATCCGTCTCATACTCCCTACAGTTTATCAAAATTACAGCACTGCAGCACCTGGCTAACTAATCTTTCGTTAAGCTACAGTGGACTTCAGCTTCAAAAGAATGTCCCCAGTGTTCTTGATTAATTGAAGAAGCTACCCTGGTGTTCAAAAGAGGCTTTGGCTAAAATGTTGACCCTCTCCCAAACTCATTGCTGGCACATGCAAACCTGTCTCCTCTTTACACAGAGGTTGATGCTACAGGTGCTGTTTCTTCTGTTCAAGAGCAGGAAGAGCATTGCCAAGTCCACTACTGTTACGTGCAGTTTGGCAGGTACACGGTTTGCCCTTTCTTGTGCACATTGTTCAGGTATATGCTCCCCACTGCTTCTTGTGACCTTGCTGTTCTCTCTCTCTGGGGCCCTGCCTTGAGTCTCCTTTGCTCAAACAAAAGCAGCCTCAGGGCAGGTTTGATTGATACACCAGTCTCCTCTACTGGTAAGTGTCAAGGTAGTGTACACAAAACAAACAGTTGTTTCCAAGAAGTAAGGCAGCATTGTCATTTGTCTTTTATTGGACTTTGAGGAACGAAGGTATCATTTGCTTGCTTCTTCATTTGCCGTGGGAATAAGGTGACATGGTAAAAGGTAAAGAGAGGGAACCAGAGGAAAGGATTTTTCTGTAACCTACGGTCCTTTGAGAAGGGAGCATTTGCTCTTTTACAGGTGGTGCTGATTTAAAAAGCACACCTCCCTGGATGTTCAAATATAACTTGTGGTGCAGTTATGATTGTTTTACTGCAAAGGAGTTAGTGCTGAACTGCTTTTTTTCTGGGATTCCTTAATGGCCCGCTTTTGGGCTTGCTAAGTCCCTTCTGCCTGAGGGTTTCTCTGAGTTCAAGAATTATCCTGCACTGAACTGCTTACCACTCTATTTCTACAATTTACTCAAACCTGTTTTTAAAGCCTGAGTATTTGTTAATGAGAAATCATGACATTTCTTCTGCTGAAATTTCCTTTAGATTACTCTTTTAAGATCCCTGCAGCTTAGGCTAATATCTTAGGCTGTACCACAAGAGACTGGAGATTAACGTATTGTTTGTAATGTAGGCCAGTCTCTGACCTTCAGAAAATGAAATGCTCATGTGGTTGTTGTAAGGGATCTTTTGCTGATTCAGACTCTCTAAATCTTTTTTTGTTTTCCATTTTTATTTTTATGTTGTGTTCTGTACTTTGGAAGTCTCCCCTGCCTAAGCCTGATTCAGGGTTAGTGTGAACTAGAGAGAAGAGGGGAAAATACAGCAAGGAGCTAGCAAGTAAATCTCCTGTGATCCTCATTCTTGCAGGCTGTACAGTTTCTTCAGTGATGCCTTGGGCGTAGTGGTTTGTCCAAGGTGTTACTGAGGTTGCCATTGGGCCAAAAACCCCGGTGTGCTCTGAGCAGCTAATCCAACTGTTTTAAGTGACCACTCTTGGGGATGGCAAGAGGGAAGGGGAATTAAGTACCTCCAGTCTGGGCATCTAAACAATTTTCTGACATTCCTTTGTCTAGCAAAGGAGATTTCTCAAAAGAAAGTTGCTGATCTCTTGCAGGCAGGAAGATGTCCTTTAACGTCCTTAGCACAGTCCTCTGTGCCAGGGGGAGGTGGGAGGAATGGCTTTCACAAAGTGACTCAGCTTCTGTGCTCTCCTTAAGTGGCACCTTCTTTTGCTGGAGGACTGCAGGCTGGGCTACGTGGTCTGGCTGGCTGGCTGACAGGGAGAACTTTTTTATTTTTAGTCCTGATAAAGCGACCACCTTAAGGAACAATCGCCAAGGAGATTTTACAGGGTAAAAGAAGAAGAGAGGGTAGTGTGCCTACATGGTTAAATTCCAACAAAGTACAAGAAAGTATCCTGGTCCAGCTGGCTTCCTGATGACCAGGCCGTAGTGCCTGCTAGAGGTGATTACTTAAGCAGTTTGAATAGAAATCATTAAGGAAATGGAACTTGCCTGCTCTCTGTACACAGATTTTGCCAAGAAACCACCAGGTTTAGCTTACAGAATTCTTTACTGGCTTGTTACATTATTACAGTCAGCTGTAATAATTTTTAAACTAATGAACCAAGGCCCCCAAACCTACTACAATATGGAAAGGAGACAGTGTTCCCTGGCTCCTGAAATGCACAGCGTAAAACAAAACCTGTCCAGCAAGGCTGATAGTAGTGCTGAGAATGTGTCACCTAAGAAGAAAATCAGAGACCAAACAGGAGTCTCACAGGCTGAGACTCTGAGATTAATAGGAAGGAGAAGGAGGCAACCAGGGACAGCAGTTGCAACATATTCCTGGGTCATATAAATTTATTTTTGTTTGCCAGCCATTGTGTTGTAACAATTAAAGCATCAAGTGACTTCTGCCTGGGTGAAGTGCGGTGACTTCTGCCCAGGTGAAGTGTCCTGCCTCATGTTGCTTAGAAAGTTCTGACTGTAGGAGCTGCGAAAAAAATACTCAGTAATCAATGCTCAAGTCAATAGGTACAGTGTAAATCTCTGCCTTTGGAACAGCAAGGTATGCTGTCACCCACAGCAGCAGTAGAAGCTGAGAAATAAGCCCAAGGTCTTGCTGGCTTTTGACATGTTGTTCTTTTTTGCAGTTGAATTCTTTGCAGTTTTTGTAGCTGTTCACAATAGTTTACTCTGAAAGAGGCAGAGTAGGGAATCAACCATCTTGTCACCACCAGTGTTGTGTAGGAGCCTGGGGTCAGAGGAATGATTGCACAGAATTCCTCTGCAGCACACAGTGTGATCAAACTTGTCTATTGAGTCACAACACTGTTAACTTGAAGCATTTGAACCTGAAGGGTTTTTTATAGAAATAGAAGTCTTATTTACTAAGTATACATGGAATGTATTTCAGTTCTGATGTGAAAACTCATAGTAACTAATGGCACTTCCCTTCCCTGATTTGGGAAAACAATTTTAGGTACCTTCCAAGCTGCTACAATCTAGTTTGTTTTTAAAAATTCAGCAAATTAATAAATGCTTTCCTGTCAGTTACATCAAGTATGAATCTGTATTAGAACAATGTAATGTCTGTTCTGGAAAGAAAAGAGATTCTGTTGGCAAATCTTATTGCCTTGTATTTCTGATGGCAACCGCTAAGAGAAGTACTTCTTTAACAATTGTTGACTATTATAACTTGTCCTATTTCCTCTATCTCTTCCAAAATGAAAATGTTGGAAAATAGCAGTTGAAGTAGTTAACATCAAATTATACCTATTGAAATACATACATGTCTGTAGATTCATCAAACAATGTACCTTTATTTGGTCCTTTATAATCCTTGATGAATCAAACGCTTGCAGCATCAATGAATTGCGGAAAGCTAGTGCTTAATTTACAGGGAAGAGGGCTAAAACCAAAAGGAAGTTTTGGCACACCTGGGACCAGAACACAAAACTCTAGATTGTCTGCAAGAGTGGCGTTTTTCTAACTGTATTGAAGTTTTTTGCTACTTTAGTTTTCTGTGCTTACATTTATTTTATGTCTTACAATGCAGTAGATAACAGGATGTTTTCTGGTGTGTTTTTTTAGGGTTTCTGGAGGAGAACTTTTTGACTTTCTGGCACAAAAGGAGTCTTTGAGTGAGGAGGAAGCAACAAGATTCATCAAGCAGATTTTGGATGGTGTGAATTACCTTCACTCTAAGAAAATTGCTCACTTTGATTTAAAGGTAAATATGCTGATTTAGACTTGTTGTTTTTTAATGAAGGACTGTACCTTCTACAATTTATTAGATATCTGTATTTGATGACATGCCTAAAATTATAGGTAAGACCATTTAAAATGCACTTCACAACTGAGTGCTCCAAGGAAGACAGTCTCATTTATCATGTCTGTGGTAACTTTTGGATGGGCTTATATATTTACTGACTGAGAAAAAGAAACTGTAAGTCTTCATCCTTCAGCTGTTTGCTGTTGTGGTATCATCCAAGGTATGCTGTTTTAAAAAAAAAAAAATAGAATGATGTACAGAAAACATGCATTTTTGGGAAGAGGAGAGCCAGGTCCAGCTAAAAACAACTGCTGCTGCTTCCAATTCCCACTGTGTTTAGAATTAGATGAGAAGTATATGTCATCCAGTGCAGTATGGTTAACAGAAAGACTTCTTGCTGTCTTAGCTGCTTAGGGCCTTGAAAGCACATCACACAGAACTCTCTTCCTCCCATACCAGGTGACATCTATAGCTTTAGTCCTTGACTTTAATATCAGTACAACTGGCCTAGACAATAGAGAAGAGACTGTCTCTCCTGATTGTGGCCTACCTAGACGAGCATGCTTCTCTGAAGCTAGGAGTCTGTTGTTCTTGAGACTAGAAGTGCTTTCTCAGTAGCAGACTCACAGCTACAGAACTGACTGCCTCAAATATTCCTGCTTCCAGAAATACATTCAAAATGCACTTATCCCCTAGGAGAAAGTAGAATAAAAAAAGAAGAGAGGACTCTTTAAAAATGAACGAAAAAGGAAAAAACTCTGCTGATAGATTACATGTTCTTTGTCTCTTAATGTACTTTAAATGCAGGTTAGTTTATTACTAATTACTAATAATGTGTGTGCTATAGATAGACTCCTCCCAGATTCTCATGATATATATGGTGATTCCTTGTGCTAAATGTGTGCCTAATGCTGTCTCTGTCTTAAATTGCTTGGTCTTAAGTCAGTGTTAATGGCGTATATGTAGTAATTGCAAATGTTGCAAATCACATCTAACGTAAGCAACTGGTTAGCAAACTACCATCCAAATCTTCACGGGGTGCGTGTAAATTCCAAGAACAGATCACTCAAATTGCTGTCAGAAAAATATTTGGTGGTGCAGCTCTCCCTCAGGATGAGGCAATGGCACTCTGTCTCTGCACCAGGTATCTGCACTGCTTCAGCTAGCTGCTGTTATGTGGGCATCAGTTGTAACTGAGGCAAATCCACGGGGTCAGGGTGTGACATCTTCCAAGGAGGCCCTGCGGGCAAGGGATGTATTTTCTGTTTTAAGAGAGGACAAGACAAACTGAGTTTTCACTTTGTGTTATATCCCAGTGGTGCTGGGCTGATAATCTATTGGCATATTTTGTTAGATTAGGGAACTACATACAGTAGTGTGGGAAGCTTCTGTCTCACTGTGAAAGCAAGGGTATCTTGTTTTCATCCTGCCAATAGCCATCATTAAAAAAATAACTCTAGGAGTGCTAACAGGAGGATAGAGGAGGGCAAGTTTTGCATGAGGTAAAGGAATGAAAATGTTACTTGCATTAGATTTGCTTTGCTTTTATGAAATTCTAATCCATTCAATGATGTCAAATTTCACAATTGTCATCCCTTTATCAAAAGAATGAATTGTAAATACTTAGGCACAGGTATTTGTTTCTTGTTCTACAGTGTTGTATATGAAGAAAAAAGCACTTGAGAACTGTTATTTTCTCAAGATATTAATATTATAACAACAAAGATCTATCTTTTGTTATTTTTAGCCTGAAAACATTATGCTTCTAGACAAGAACATCCCTATTCCACATATCAAACTCATTGACTTTGGCTTGGCTCACAAAATAGAAGATGGAGTTGAATTTAAAAACATTTTTGGAACTCCAGAATTTGTAGGTGAGTGACCCGTTCCTTTGTCTTGTATTGCAAGTTCCATTAGGAAGTTGAGGCATCTTTTCAAAGATAAGAAGTGAGGGATAAAGGTAGTTGCAATCTCATTTGTATCAAGGTGACCTAAATCTAGAGGCTTACTGTATTTTTCTGGAATAGGTAAATGGTGCTTGCTATAAACCAGATGCTTTACTCCTGTGAGAGTAGCTGCCAAATAAATATTTATAGATGTAAATTCAGGATTGAGATTGTGAAACCCTGCAAATGCAAATAATAATTTCTGACTTGTTCCCTGAGGCAAGTAAGTTGCCTGCATTGTAGTACACAAGTACACAATTACATGGGTATCTCTATCGTTGCTTTCTAGATAAAACTGACTCACACTGTACACTTGTTGAGTACAAAACCCGCACATCCTCTTACATTTCTCCGCCTGATCCTCTCTTTGTTACTTACTGGTCATAATTCTAATCTGTCTTGCTTGGATTTTAGGTTAAGATTGCTCCTTTCTACTAGTTTCAATTAGAGATTTTGGGGTTAGGAGACAGGGAGAGAGTTGTAAATCATATTCCAGTTAAACACAAGTGTTACAGACACCTTTTTTCATCTCATAACCTTGGTCTTTTCTCTTGCATGCAGTCTTATATGGGGATGTTTTTCCAACAAGGAAATGTTTCTTACAAAGATAATAGGGTTTGACATGGACAGCAATGTAGTCTGGCACCTAATGTCAGTCTCTAGCCCAAGGGCCGTTTCTGACTGACCATTAGAAAGCTGTAATGGCACCAGTTAAACACAAAACAAAAGCTCAGATTCTTAGGGGTAACAGTATCCTTGGGAGGTGAAATATTTTTTTTATTTGTTATAATTTGCACTGTAATTAGTATATAGTATCTTCTTCACCCTTATCCTTGAGTAGCATTATGCTCCAGATTACATAATCTATTCTGGACACCTGTGAACTTGAGTTCCTATGAGGGCTATAAAACTGTAAACAGTGCATCCTATAACTACTTTTCCTTTTCCCACTCCCTCTTTTTCCCTCTTGGCAATTCTTGATCTGCTACTCAAGTCACCCTGGTGAAAATTTGTTACTGCAGTTGCTGATGTTTGATTAAATTTTTCTTACAGCTCCAGAAATAGTAAACTATGAACCACTTGGACTACCTGCTGATATGTGGTAAGTTTTTTATGTTTTTTTTTTTCCCCAGGTTGGTCTACTACTACTTTTTCCAAATTTGCTCTGAATAGAATCCATTCTACTGCAACAAATTAAAAACAAAAAAAAAACTTCAGTGCAGTTAAAAACTTTGTTCCATCTTTCCATTTTTATGCATTGTTTTTAATTAAAAGATAAACACTTAATTTCTGCAAAATGACAATGAAAAACTTCAGTGGTGGCAGTTACAGAGTTAACAGTTTGCCACTGTCCACTGCAGAGGAGCACTCTTAAATGGAAACGGGTTACTGCAGTGCTTGTGACAGCTTTATTTATAAGAGCACTGCCTGCAGAGACCTGCGTACTAATCTGGTCTGCCGAGAAGGCAGGCAAAAGAGGTCACCCCAAATAAAAGATCCTTGCTTCTTTTTCTTTGTATTTCTTATGTGTACTGTAGTAAATACTTGCTAGAGTGGAAATACACAGAGACTTCAAATATCCACATTACTTGAAGTTATATGTAAAATTCACGTTTTCCCTGCTATTCTTTGAGAGAGATTAGCAGTAATCTAAAGCCATGATGGCTCCCCTGCCTGTACAGCAGCTAGCACTACTATTGTCTTTTGTGTACATTAAGAGGAATACAGGTCATGTAGAATGCCTGCAATTAATCTCCTTTGTTTTTTAGGAGCATAGGAGTCATCACCTACATACTGTGAGTACAATAAATTAACTCCTGTAGAATTGTCCCTGAAGCTCTATTGCACTAGTGTGAAACAACTCTTCCCTTTAGTCATTTAAGAAAGAAGTTGCACGCATGGGGTGGGCAGTGGTTTGTCTAATGGGCAGATGTTATCCTGCAGCCTTTTCAAGTTTAAAGGATGGGGTAAAAGAAGAGGGTCGTTCTGAACAGACAAAGAACAAATGTCTCTAGCATCACTGGACATTTCTGTTTGTTATGGGATCTCATCAGCTCCAAATGGTAGAGGATGGAAAAGCCCAAGCATATTGGTTGCTCATAGAGTGGCTATGAGCTACCAGTGTGTGGAGAGAATAGAAACAGAAAGAGTAATGTTGCCATTTACAAGGTGAGTTATTTCAGGTGAAAATGGGGAAGTTTGAATTTGTTTGTAAAGGCAGCAGTCTAGATTACTATGTATAAATATGGTCACTGATATTCAAAAAGGTGAATTTAAGCTGGGATGAATGGCCCAGGTGGTCCCATCTAACTTTCTGCTTACCCTCAAATTCCCAATCAACATGGTAGTGGCAATACAGACAGGGTAAAAGATTTGTTGAGCAGGATCATGTAAGCAAGCAGTTTAGTATTCGAAACCTCAGTTAAGATCTCAGGAGTTTGCTGCAGTCCTGCTTTGAGCCTGCTGCATCCTGAAACTATGCTGTCAAATCTAGACATAATAGATAAGCACAAAAAGGGATGAGATCAATTTCCTTGGTAAAAATAACATTTCCTGTAAAACAGACTTTTGCAAGTCAGCATCCATGTGGATTGGGGAGGGGATGGAAGGCAGGGCAGGAGGAGTCTGCAATGAATCTGTTCTGACACTTGAGTTTTATGGAGCAGAGGTAAATAGTCACCGAAGATGAAGCTCATCAGTCACAGTTGAGAGATTGGCAAAGCAGGATGAAAGCTTTTTCTGTCGAAGTACAGATTGATGAATGGCATTTTGTTATGATGTTGTCTCCATTATATCCTTGCAGTTGGAGCAGAGTGCCAACAGAATGAAATTTTGCATTGTTCGGAAACAATTGGATTTGATTGCAGCCAAAGTCCTTTTGTTTTTTGGATTACTTTTAATGAGCAGCATGGCCCTACCTCTCTGGAGCAGTTGGCCCCTAGGCAAGGCCACACACCTGACTTCTAATCACACATTGTTCTTTGGTTGCAGCTGAGAAAGGTCTCTTGGCTGAACCCACTGCTCAGGGAACTTGTTAGTGGCTCTGCAGTCAGAAAAGCACTAGGGGCAGGCTTTTCTTACTCAAAGAAAATCTATAGAAACACTACTTTATCTGCTTGAAGCTAATAGAAGCTTCTGCCTCGTAGTGTTTGGTAGTGTTTGTGGGTTCACAGGGGTAGAGACTCTCCTCAGCAGAAACTTTTTCTAGTTTGATTAGCAATTATTTCGATGAGACACTTGAGAGGAGAATCTGTGCATTTCTATCTGTTTGCACCCATTAGTGCTGCACTAGAGACTTTCAAGATGAGTCTAACTCATAACCACAGATGTAGTGAGCCTAAGCTGGACCTGTTATTCTCCATGTGACATGGCTGCTACAACATGAGATCCACAAATGTCCTGAGAGTATATTACACAGTCGCTGTAATTTCATTAGGGGACCTCTGCTGTTTATTTTTCCAATTGATTCTTCTTTCTGGCTTATCTAGGCTTAGTGGTGCTTCACCTTTCCTTGGAGAAACTAAACAAGAAACACTTGCCAACATCACAGCTGTGAGTTATGAATTTGATGAAGAATTTTTCAGCAATACCAGTGACCTGGCAAAAGACTTTATTCAGAAACTCTTGGTGAAAGATACACGGTAAGTAAAAAATCAGAAAGATCCATCTGTCTCTAAGATAAACTTGGTGAAATATAGGCTGACGAGTAATCCGCAAAGATTTCCCTGCAGGGTGTATTGCCCTTCAAGAGGAAGACAGGAGGATGCTGCTGTGCACCTAGTTAATTACTGCACCCAGAAACTCTTAAGAAAAAGAATCAAATCTTCTCAGTTAAATTTCACTTTCAGGACTAATTCTCGCCTGGATCAAGCTGGTACAAACTGGCAGGTGAAGGGCTGAGAATGGTGTGCAAAATCTCTAGTTCAAGGTAACTACCCCTCCAGTATTTTGGTCTATTATGAACTATTTGCAAAGAGGTGACATGAGCCCAGAACATGCTCCCAGTAATGCAAGGGCAGAAAAGTCTTCAGATGTGCTCATAGTGGAATTGTTCCTTAAGTCTCTCTGCATCTGTTGCAATCACCCAGAATTTGCTTGACAGCTATGCAGATCTTTACTCCCAGTTTAAAGGAACCACAGTTCCTTTTTTACTTTCTCTTGCTTTTAATAAGGTGCATGCAGAAGTAGCATCTCCTGCCTTGTAACCCTGTTTGTCCTGGAGGAAACTCAGGCCCTTGTAGTTCTTTCTAATGGCTTCATTAGGGGAGAAAATAGCTATTAGAGAGAAAGAGGCAAGCTGTTTGGTCGAGATTGCTGCAAATCCTCAGGCCTTAGAACAGGACAGAGTAGGTGGGGTTTGACGAGAGGTTTGCACAGGTCTAGCAATCTCCTTTTAACAAAGGACAAGACAGTGATATTGATATTTGTCCCATGTACAGAGGCTGTCCCTGTGCCATGCTGTGTCTCTGCCTTTAATTCTCAGTGCTGTTAATGTGCTGTTCACTGAACTGCCTCAATGCAGAAGGAAGTTAGGATTGATCAGGTTTGATTAGATTTGAAGTATTCCTCTCAGAACTGTGGTTTTCAGGAGATGGCAGCTTCTGCAGTGATGTAATATTGTATTCCAAAGGACAGTCTTGATATAATTAATGTTGCATACCTTGATTCAGACACAGTCATATTAAAGGTGTATAGAAATAATTTATTTTCTAAGCATGTAGGATGAACAGAACAAATTAGTATTTTATCACTTTTTATGGAAGGGTACACAAAAATACAGATAGATTTTGATCAAGTAAGAATTAAAATTGTATGGAGTGAGGACAGCTCCTTACTTAGCACAGTCACTAAACTGCACCCAAGCAGTATGCCTCATGGAGAAACATAACCCTAGAATGTGAGAGTGCTGGCATTATCCTGATAAATGCTTCATTCAAAGCCTGGGAGAAGTGTGAGTCAATGGACTTGTGTACCAGGTATTTCTCATTCAAGACTGTTTTTTTGGTGTTGTTTTTTAGAAAACGGCTTACAATTCAGGAAGCTCTGTCTCATCCATGGATAACGGTAAGACTGAATAAAGAGGCACATCTTTTTTTTTACCATGAGAAAAGCACAAATTATATTCTCACTCTTACTGTTGTGTTAAATGAAAAACTGCTGTCTGACTACTTAGTGAGCCTAGGTTTCTTAAAGAAATGTACTGGGAAGAAATTGGTTGGGTCTGACTAAATCCTTGGATTTCTGTAAATGACTTATTTTATTATCAACTTTAAAAAAGAGGGTGACAAAGCTTTGTTTGTTGCACATTACAGTGTCCTACATTAGACTGGGCTTTGCATTTTTCCATCCTTTGTTTGCATGGACATATACTACGTGTTTGCTTTACTGCTTTCTTGAGTTAAGAGTTGACGACAGCCAAAGTGAAAAATACAATTTCTCTCAAGATATAATGGCTGTACCAAGTGTGATGATTTGCTTACATTGATGTGTCTGTATACATTTTTTTTCCATCATAAATGTTGCTTGCTTTTCTGGATAAGTCTCTCATTGAAAATATATTTAGCTAATCTCAGCATGACTAATGAGGAAGTTTGAAATTCAGTTTTTGCTCTGCATTGTGTGAAACATTAACTGGAGTGTTTTCAGGATTGTTGTTTTTCCACTTACAAATATTGATAGCTTTGAGACTGTTAACTGCTAAAAATTAACATGAAAATGAATTGTGGCCCTGTTATTTACACTTATCTCATTGGAATGAATGCTCGTCACTTGTCACATTCATTTTTTAGTTTGTGTGTTTGTTTTTTTATTTCTTGTAATCAAATGCATGGAGGAAAATCTGTGGGAGCGAAGAATCTCCCAGCATTGTGGAAGTTCAGGCTGCATCCTTTGTGTAGAGTTTTTCAATTACTGCACTGTCTTGTAAACGTTCAGTAATATTGGTTCCTCTGTCTGATGACTCACCAGCTGAAAGACGAAACAAAAGTCCAAGGAAACAAGAAGGTTGAGAACACACAGCTGAAGACAAAACGCCTGAGAGAGTACACCATAAAGTGCCATTCGAGCATGCCTCCCAATAATACCTACATCAACTTTGAGCGCTTTGCCCGGGTAGTAGAAGACATTTCACTTACAGAACGGGGTTTCAGCACTCTGGCTGCATCCCATGATTCCTTGCAGGAGGACATTGATGCTCTGGTTTCCATTTATAATGAAAAAGAAGCTTGGTATAAAGAAGAGAATGAAAGTGTGAGGCACCAACTATCTCAGCTGAAGTATGAATACCGTAAAATTGAATCCTTGAAAAGACATCTACAAGATGATATCAAGACTGTAGGCACTAGTCTTACAGGCATAACCGGGAGATATGCTGATCTGCAGCGTCAGTATGAATCTTTCAGTCAAGAACTTTCTGAGGAGCTCAAGTGGATACAGGATTTAATGAATAGTATTCAGCTGGAAAATGAAGCCTGTGTGAATGGAAACTTTGACTCTGTTTTCAACAAAGATATTAATGAATCACTAACAGACCTCTTAAATAGATCTCACTGTGAAGAATTCCTTGCAGAGCTGAATCTTGATGTAGCAGAATCAAATCAATAATGTTGTAGGTCAGATTAGGTGCAGGGTTTGCTGCATGTTTCAATGTACAGCAGTTTAAAAAGTTTTCAGTGCATAGATTCTACACAAAAACATCACCTAGAACAAAAATAGAAAAATTCTGATGCACTAGGTGCTGACCAAAACCATAAACTCGCAGTGGTCTGAGTGTTGAAGTTTTTTTACTGTTTGGTGTCTGAACTTTTAGGAACTAGATTATTGCAGTGGTATGGACACATCTAACCCTACAGCCTTTTGCATTGCCTATATCATACTTCTTTGTGTATTGCAGTTCCTGAAGATTACTGAATAATTAACGTGGAATAAAGAATAGGTCAGTCTGTACTTACTAGAAGTTGTGTGGCTAGAAACTAATAAAAATCTCATGATAGCATCTTTGGATGAAGGAGACAGTCATATAGACCTGCTGCAGGCAGTTCTATAGACCATATGAGAGAATTATTTGCAAGAGTTAAATCTGTGCTGTAAAACAAAGTAAATAGTGTAGTAATTTAATATTTATCTAGTACTGTGGAAATTTTCTGTGAAATGGCTACTGAGACAGAAAATCTAAGATTATTTTTAGGCCAATTATGCAGGGCGAAATCTTTTACCATCCAAGGTGTTAGCTGTTAATTAAGCCTTTAGTTTACAGTTCAGCTAAGTTTCCTGTCGGATACCAAAGAAATCCTATTCAAAAGACACAATTGGGAACTTGTAATGATCTCATCAAGTAACTATGTATGTAAATTTACAGTGCAAATATTAATTTGTGAGTGATAAGTGGTAACATAGACCTCTGATCTGCTTTTTACAGTAAAGATGACAAAGCTGCAACTAATTTAATCTATGATGTGGGATTTGATACTAGTGTTCTTGCTGTGAAGATGGGTTTTTTAAAGTTTTAGAAAGTAAAAGAAAAGTTGGTCCAAACTTGAATCATGCTGTGCTGTCTTGTATTTCAAAGAAGTAATTTGATTATACTGTATTAATATGCACAGATGTACCCATCTCATTTCTGGACACAATAAATAGTTATTTATGCAGGATGCACTTCTTCCCTGATGGTGTAGTTAGTGACTGAAAAAGAGATGCCAAGCTTCTTCAAGAGAAGAGTTGCCAGCCTAGGTTCTGCAGCTAGTTTACAGCTCCTTTGCTTAGCTGTGCAAATTTGCTGCAAGGTGACTGTTAGGCAGCTACAAGAATTGGAGAGATAGTAGCCAGGCATCCCTACATCACTGCTCAAGTCCATCTGGAGTGGATCTTTATATATATATATATATGTCTTTCACTGCCCAGCCTCCCTTCTCTTCTTCCAGAAAAGTTAATGACCTAACTATATTGGACTGTTGTTGTTCACATTGAGAATAGTGTTTCCTACTTTGAGATGAAAAGATAAAAGCATACTGTCATTCAGTTTGTGTAGAGTCCAGTGGACCCACCACTGCCGTGTCCTTGTAAAGACATGCAGAGGTTGGTGAAATTCAGAATTCTGAAAACAATTATTCACTTAGGGGTATTGTTAATCTACTTGGTAGAGGATGGAAACTGGATGTGGTCTCTTTGGCATCTTTGCACAAGATGTAAAATTTTTAAACGGTTCAAAGTAGTGTAGATAGCCAGGAGATGTCCCTAGCAAGCTGGTGTTGATGGTTGGGGAGAATTAGGCTCCACTGTGACAAATAGTATTGAGAATTTTAGTTATGTCAATTTTTTATTCTCTCAAAATGTTTCAGTTGTCATTTCTGTAGGTTCCTTAGAGCTGGAAGACTTGTGAGATACTGTCCAGGGGAACCAGAACACAGAATTTTATTTTTTTTTTTTAATCAGAGAAAGAGTTTTAATTCTTAAAATATAACTTAAAGCTTAGTGAGATTTAATATCTGCAGAAAAGACTCTCAAGAAAGAGAGTCTACCTTCCCTCAGCCACAATCTCCTATTCTTGCAGGTTTTCTTTATGAACAAATGCACTGGCATGATGAGAAGGAACATTAAAAATGAGGCCACTGTGTTCCTGAGTGTGCTTGGGTGAGGTTAATATTGTTGTACCCCTATCCTTGAGGCTAGTGCTCTCTGAGCTGAAGGAGGTCACTAACATACTGCTTTTTAGAAGATACTCTGATGATTGAGAAAATGACAAGGTCACTGGTTTGCAGGCTACTTAGAAATTGAAAGGCAGTTATTAACAGTCTGGAGCACTGTAAAGTAAGCTCTTTTGATCCAGCGACGTTTCAACTGCTGAAAGGGCACTCAGAAATTTTTCATGATTGTACAACTGATATTTAGCTGGTGATATTTTTCTCACTTCAAATTGATTTCTACTCAGTGTTTTGTCGCACCATGCTAGCCATTTGCAGCACGAGGAAATTATATTTAATGCCTAAGTGTCTCTGTTCTGTTGTATGCGAATGGTGTATCCAACTAAATGAGAAAGAGGCCTAGCTGATAGCTTGTCTCCTTGAATTACTGCTGAGATATCTGCACAAGTGCTATACCTATAGCATTTGATGAGGAAAGTGAATTTGTTATCTCATAAACATTATCACTTATTTTGCTGAAAAAATGTTTAAATACTGGTGTGTTTTTCATTCTCGTTTGGTACTCATGCTTCTTCAGGTGTTTGGCTTGGGATTGGATTCAAGTCCAGTTCAGTATAAATGTTTCAGGGTTATCTTCCTCCTGCATATGCAGATCAGAACTGCTGGAATGGTTGCCACTCCATAAACTCCATAATCTTTGAAGAGTTGATTCTTGTTTTTTAACTTTTATCAGATCTAGTTTTGAACTCTTTTTTTCCCCCCCTTAATCTGTCAGATATAGTTTTCTGGTCTATGCAAATTTTGATGTGGTTTTAGAGTTCAAAGTTGCTTCATTTTCAGAAGTACCGTGTCAAGGTTTGCAGAATATCTGTTCCTTAACACCATATTGGCATCCAAAAATTTTAGGCACATGTCTAAATTCTGATATGTATTTTTTTCTTCATATTTTTCCATACTCTGGTATTGCAGTCTTTTCCTCATGTATTTATTGACAGGGTATCAATGTCTTGTGCTCTGGGTATGGTTTAAAGACAAAGCCTGAGTTTTTTCAGATGTGCTGTAACATGTATCCCTGTCACAGATGCTAAATGACAGCTAACTTTTTCCCATTTTATTACAGTGATGTCAGCAAAACATACTGGAGTGAGTTTGATAGAATGTTGTGAAAATGATTAAGGGAATGGAGTGACTGTCAAAGGGGGAGAGGCCCAGAGAACTGAGATTGTTTAGTCTCAAAAAGGAAGGCTTGGAGGGGAACTTCTCAATCTATATAAATATGTGGTGGAATGGAGTAAAGGAAACAGGGCCGGGCTCTCCTCAGTGGTATCCAGTGACAGGACAAGAGGCAATGGGCACAAATTGAAAGACAGAAATTCCCTTTAAACATTAAAAAAAGCAAACAAACTTGTTTACTAAAGGAGCAGTCGAACACTGGAACATGTTGCCCAGGGGGTTTGTGAATTCTCCATCCTTTGAAACCCCAGTGGGATGTGGTCTTGGGCAAGCTGCAGTAGCTGGCCCTGCCCTGAGCAGAGGGTTGGACTAGATAATCTCCAGAGGCCCCTTCCAAACTCAACTATTCTGTGATTCCTATGAGTCCAGTGTTGACCAAAGCTGGTCATGGATTTACTTTTCTTGGGCCACCTTCTAATTTTCTGTTTGGGTTGTAGAGTACAGCTAGTGCTCTCTGAAGTTATTCTACATTTCACATTCACATATTCTCCATCTTCAGATCTGAAATAACTGCCACAAATTTACCTATGGTGTTTAAGTCAGCCTGGTGAAAGAAAAACCTGTAAAAGCACAATTCAAAAAAGCTGTGCTAGAATAAAATGAAAAGCCACATGCTGCGAGTTAGGAAAGGACCCTAATGTATCTCTGGTTTTAAAATATCCTTGTAAAGGGTAAAATGTGAAAACTTCTGTCTGAAAATTTAGAAGGTAGCATGGGACCTAACAATGTGATGATGCTGAGTTTAGTCCTATTCTGTCATGATTTCTAGCAAGCGCATGCAAAACCCCCTGAGCAGCAGTGTGCTGCAGTGCTGTTGGTGCACTGACAATGGCTCTATCTCCTTTCTGTCAGGTCTCTGTGGAACTTTTTTGTTGCTCTCCCAGTTCCTTTCAGAAAGAGGGGCATGAGAAGAGGCCAGCTGATAGGAGCTCAATCCAGAAGAAATGGAGATGGTGCGGGTGTGCACTGAGAAGCACCTTAGCAACTTGACAAAGTGAAAGCATTGCCTTAGCACCCTCTAGCATCCCCTTAGTGACTACTGTCTTTTGTTTGACTGTCTTTCATCACATCCTTTGGCTCAAAAAGCTGCTCCCAGACTTTTTTGCTTGTTTTTTTTTTATGTGGATCATTATGAAGCAGAAGTGGAGGCTAGAGTAAAGTCCATGCCATGTGAAACACCTTTTATGCCAGGTTGAGTGGCTAGAAAGGGGCAGCAGTGGAACTTCAGAACAATTTTGTGCACTGGGCCAGTTGTAACCACTGACTGTACACTAGTTTTAGGATTTTGTTTTAAGTCAAAGGAGTCCTGTCCAGGCACAGGGTGAACTACATTTAATTAATTTTCTTCTGCTTTTAGCTGTATGAATCCACAGCTTCCCCAGCCAACGTTATTTTCAGCCAGCTCCAGAGCACATGAAGAATCTTAGTATTTTATGCACCAAAGGGAGCCAAGCAATAAAATTGCTCTCTTATCTTCCAGCCAGTGGACAAGCGACAGGCTTTGGTTCGGCAAGCATCTCTTGTTAACATGGAAAACTTCAAAAGGCAATATGCTAGAAGGCGATGGAAGGTATGACAGCAAGCCTTTAATCCTTCCCTTGTAAGGCTTCGCAGGCCTGATGGGATCAGAGGGCAAGATAGAGCTTGAATGTAAAATTGTAATATGCAGTAGATAAATTAAATGTGTTTGGATATGCCTGCACTGCATATGTGTGGTCAAATTCTCATTCT